TCCAGCGATCTGCAAAGCCTAGATCGCTGGCGATGGTGAAAATTTCAGTATGTTGATGTAGTTTTAATCAGAGTATTGGGTTGGTGCGGGGATTTGTTTTCGCACATCATTTTCTCCTAGCAAACTAACGATAAGAGAGGCGTGGTTAAGAATATTGTGGCTGAAGCCAAACCCCACAAAATGTGCACTAGCAAAATACATTGTACATTTTGATTTGATGATGATTTTAATGCACACTGTAAAAAAATACGGTAACACTTTACAATAAGGTTCATTAGTTAATGCATTTACTAACATGAACTAATCATGAACACATGTACAGCATTTATTAATCATAATTGAACATTTACTAATGCATTATTAACAACCAAGTCCATGCTTGTTAACACTAGTTAATGCACCATGAGTTAACAAACTAACAATGAACTACTGTATTTTCATTAACTAACGTTAACTAACATGAAAAAATACAGTAGTAAATGTATTGTTCATTGTTTGGTCATGTTAGTAAATGCATTAGTTAACATTAACTAATGAACCTTATTGTAAAGTGTGAACAAAAATACAATGACAGAAAGTCAAGACAACAATTTTTTTAAATTGCTTTAACTTATTTTTAACATGTTTTAGCTACATTTTTTAAGTTATACAAAGTTTAACTTAAGATTTTTTGTCATTTTGATTGATGTAAGTTGAGATTACTAGAAAAGTTAATTTAATTCAACTAAAAAAATTAAGGCAGCTATATTTTACAGTGCACTATGAGTTAACAAGAAATAACAATAGTCGGTGCTTTTGTTTGTTTGTTTTAATGTTTCCCTCTGTACTGCATTCATCAGAGTGTGTAACCAGGTGGTTTGATTCTGACGACCCTACCACAAAGGGAGGAGATTCTGAGCTCTTGACTAACCTTCTCAGTGCATACTCTGGATCCATTTGTCCAAATCCACTCGGAATAGAGGCTCAGACAGTGTCAGGCCAGTCAGCATCTCAGACGGGAAACGTTTTTCAAGTGTGAGTCTTTCAAAAAATATTAAAACGTGTGTGTGTGTGTGTGTATGTGTGTGTGTGTCTATGTCTGTGTGTGTGTCTGTGTGTGTGTGTGTGTCTGTGTCTTTGTCTGTTTCTGTGTCTTTGTATGTTTGTTTTTGGCAAATATTAAATCCTAAACATTTTGCACATTTTTCTGAAGATATGATCCTACAAATGGGTTTTCCTGTTTAAATGCAAACCAAGGAGGAGCCATATGTGCTGATTATAAGGTGCGCTTCACCTGTCCAGAGGAATGGTGTTCAAGTGAGTTCACCCGATGTCATGATAACACTAATTGATTTAATTAAGAAAAATCTAATAACTATCTAGTCATGCCTTGGATTAATGTACTGGAGATAGACCTCTTTTTTATTTTTATTTTTATAAAGTTTCTAGGAGCATGACTCAAAGAGGTAAAAGAATTCATATGAAAAACTGCTTTAACCAACACATTGGCTTTATAACATTTCGTGTCATTCTCTTACAGAATGTATGACACCGTGGTTTGATCGAGATAATCCTGGTGGAATGGGAGACTATGAGCCACTGTCATTAACTCCAACAGCATTCCCACAACAGGTCTGTGCTCAGCCCATTGCCATTGAGGTTTCAACCATTACCGGGACTCCTGTACTGCCAACTGGAAACCATTTTCAAACGTAAGATTTAAGAATACTTCTTTTAGGGCTGTTAAACGATACACATATTTAATCGCAATTAGCTGCATAAATACCATGAGGTAACTTGTGATTAATCACAACTTAATTGTTCTAAATGTGTCCTAAAATAATATAATGTTGCAATGTGGAACTGCATAAAACAATATTATTGATTTCAGTGCACACAATAAAAAACTGAAACATAATATAGGAATGAGCTGAAATTAAATTTTTTGGCCTGAAGACTGAGAACCAAACACATTTCTTTTCTAAAATGCGAGTGTTAATCGCACGTTAGTAAAATTAGTGCTGTTAAAAAAAAATTTGCTTTTTATGTGTTATTAACGTGTTAATTTTGACAGCCCTAATATCTATTTCTATATGTATTTGTAAAGATTAACAACCACTCTCTCTTATTTTGCAGATTCGATCCACTTCTGGGCTTTGAGTGTGTGAATGATTTTCAGAATGGATGGACCTGTCTGGACTACAAGGTCCGCTACAAATGTTTCTGCAAGATCGTAGGTCCCACAATCGAAAGTCGCCCATTTGAGCTTACAAACCTAACAGATTTCCTAAATGTAGGATAAACTACACTTTCAATTTAAGATCAGATTTAATGGGAGAAAAAAACATTAGCAATAAACGTTTTCTTGCATTATCCTTCAAAGCCTCTACTCATTATGTGTTGCATGCTGTGGAATGCCAGCTGTTTGATGACACTTTGTTTGACATTTACACTTCTATTAAGCATCTTTAAGTTGTTTTCAGTATGGTTTTAGTAACAGTATGCAGTTGAAGTCAGAATTATTAGCCCCTAAAATAAAAGCTGTTTATTTTTTTAAACCATTAATTTTGATAAATAATTTTATCTAAATTATTAGCCCCTAAGCTTTTTTTTTTCTTAAATAGTTTACAGAACAAACCATCATTATAAAATAACTTGCCTAATTACCCTAACCTGCCCTAACCTAACCTAACCTAAAGTTAAGTCTCTTTAAGCTGTATAGAAGTGTCTTAAAAAATATCTAGTCAAATATTATTTAGTCATCATGGCAAAGATAAAATAAATCAGTTATTAGAGATTACTTATTAAAACTATTATGTCTAGAAATTTGTTGAAAAAATCTCTCCATTAACAGAAATTGGGGGAAAAAAATAAATATGGGGGCTAATAATTCTGACTTTAACTGCATATACAGTACATAGCAGTATACTGTTTTGTCATGGTTGTAATTTTTATTGTACGTATTGTAATTAACATGAAAGAGCTTCCCACACTTGAAAAATGTATTTAAACTTGGTTCTTAGCACTGTGGGCACCATTTGGATGTTTATCACTGCAAAGTTATTTCCAAAATGTTTTTACTTCTCAAAAAATGCATACTTTGTGTGAGTATATCGGGACATTGGATTGCATTCAGTCTATTATACTTTATTTGTTCAAGGCGTGAGCACAAGTAATAATTTAAGTAATAAATTATTAAAATACTTGTTATTTGTTATTTGGTTGCAGTTAATTTAATGGCTACTAATGTCATTGATTACAAAGGTTTCTAAACTTTACACACAGTCCCTTTAGGGGAACTGTTATGAAAAAAATCATTATTATAGGGGGTTTAAACAGTTGTGTGGTAACAGTCTGTAAATATAATCAGCTTTTTAATGGTATATATATATATATATATATATATATATATATATATAAATTTAATCATTTATAATCACACTTCATAAAAACAGTCTGCAGAAACACTTTGACTGAGATTCTCCATTGGTATGTGTCATCAGAGGGGGAAAGCCCCGCCTATTTGATGATCTCTCCCTGATTAGCATAGGACATTAGTCTTGTTTTTGAATCTGCCACTACACTGACACAGGCATTTTGTGCTCTGCCCTTTTTTGAAAAGAGCACATTCGTATTTAAAGCAACAGTGTATCAAAATGGCACGATTAGGATCAAAGCCAAAAATGGGGAGTTTCAAAGAGTTGTAAAACATTATTTGTGGGGTATTTTGAGCTGAAACTTCACATACACACTCCAGGGGCATCAGAGACTTATTTTACATCTTGTAAAAAGGGGCATGATGGGTCCTCTTTAAAGTAGTTTTTAAAGAAATTATTGGAAATTGATAGGGCCACATTTTCACGGTTAATATAGTCCATATAATTAAAATGAATTTTTCCTTTAACTTCTTGTTCTGTGTGTCTTAAATGAAACAAACATATGAAAAGTAGCACAATTTGGGATTGCCCCTTATAGGCCAAACAAAATGCTTAGTTTTTCTCATACAGACAGTTGTGGTGAGAAGTATTGGCTTCCTTGGTAAATTTAAAGAAAGCTCGGAAAACAAATCTGTGTTGTTTATATTTTATATTGCATAAAAAAAATCACAAAAATATAGTTTAATTGAAATAAAACAGGTAGCAAGGTGGCGCAGTGGGTGGCACCATTGCCTCACAGCAAAAAGATAGCTGGTTCGAGCCTTGGCTGGGTCAGTTGACATTTCTGTATGAAGTTTGCATGTTCTCCCCTTGTTCGTGTGGGTTTCCTCTGGGTGCTTTGTTTTCCCCCACAAGTCCAAAGACCTGCTGAATTGGCTGTAGTGAATGACTGTGTATAAGTTGCAGCTAGAGGTGCATCCGTTGCATAAAACATAAGCTGGATAAGTTGGCTATTAATTCCACTGTGGTGACCCTAGATTAATAAAGGGACAAAACCAGAAAGAAAATCCATGAATGAATGAAATAAAACAAATAGAAATGAGTAAGAATTCATTATGAAATATATTTTTCTTAATATACACGTTGGAAAAACTTCAGACATTGTTTTATTCAATGCTTTAGAGAGATATTTTTTTTCCATACAGAATCTAACTACACTGTAAAAAATCTATAGTTCCACACAATTTATGAATTCAATTAATCAGATTGCTGATAAACTGATTAAGTCAGTGTAACAAATTTAAGTGGATTGAACATAAACAATTTTCCCAATAAACTCTCCAAAATTGTGTTGTTTCAGCTAATTTTAATAGTTTAAACAAGCTGCAAAAACTCTTTTTTTTAGTATATATCTCCTCCAGGTCCTCTAATTTTGGTGCACTTTGCTCATAGTATTTCTTTAATTTTTTGTTTGTGTTAGTGACTGATCTTTATTTTATAAATAAGAATAAAATGCCCCAGACCTAGTCTTAATGAAGCCATGTTTTTTCATCTGCTGTTACCAATGCAAAATACAGCATTGGATGTAGCTTTTGTAATTACTATAATTTTTTATTTTTATGTGTCATCCTGGCGACATCATGTGGTCAACAATTGAAAGTGACCTCACAGGAACTGGTTTCTGGTGCGACATTTCAGCTGAGATATTCCCACATCCAGCTTCACCCTCTCATATCACTTTTAACGCAGTCGTCTCCAGCATCGTCTATATGATCGACTCAGCCGTCGAGACGCAGCGTTCATTTCGAGTAGCATCCGATGCGTGCTGAACAAAGTTTAGAGAAAGAACTAGATCTGCTTCGACGTCATTTCCGATGGAATATTCCAGTGAATCCTGATATGCCTTTAAAAAGAGACCCTGAATAAGAGAAATGTGTTGTCTGTCATTAACAGGTGCAGGACAGAACAGTATCGTCGTTAATAGAAAATCATAACTGTTTATCACTGAATGCGAATAAAATAAAAATAAAAAATACAGTGTCGTCGACTGAATTCAACAACAGCCGTTATTTGTCTGCGTTTGTTTTGATTGGCATCGCTCTGTGCTTGACATTGAAGGTAAGTTTCTCAGCGTGACATACCAAGACGCTTTGAGGAATGATGGAATTAATTTGTTTTTGTTAATTTAAGCTCAGTAGGCTTACAAAAAAAAAAAAAAAAACATAGAACAATAAATTATTTTTGTGCAGAATAAAAAGTTTTCATTCATTTTATCTTTAACTTAATCATAAAAACTCGTTTTTTTTGTTGTAAGGTGAGGGAACTGCCTGAGGTAAGATGCCGTACTATGATATAGCCCACAAGATGGCTTGGTGCTCTCTGATGTTGAATACGCAGTTTTTTTACACTATAATCTAGAACACATAGCATGCATTTAAAAGATTTGTATGTAATTTTACGTTGGCCTATCTTTTTAAATTAATTATTTATTTATTTATTTAGAAAAAAAGAAAGGCAGAAACGATTTAATCCTACCTTAACCTTATTATTAACCACAGAGCCGACAAGTTATAGCCTACGTTTTTCTTTTTCTTTTTATTAAGGTGCCCATTTTCCCCTATTTAGTACGATAGTTGTCTGCGTAGGTTATTTGTGATGTTATGCAATAGACACGTGGTTCTGATGCAGAAGTCAATGTCTGTTTAAATACATCTCACCCTTCATTCAGCCAGTAAAGGAAGAAGTTTCTTGTCATTTAACCCTGCTACTGGCTAGACCGTTTCATTGTAAGTACCCTTTATTATTATTGTTATTATATATATATATATATATATATATATATATATATATATATATATATATATATATATATATATATATATATATGTTGTTATTGTTAATTTTAAACGTCTTTTAATGACCTACACCTTCAATGCTAATGTCACTATTAAACACATGTAATTGTTATGAACCTTCTAATAAATAATTATATGATCACTAGCGAGGTCATCTTTTGACATTGTTTTGCCTGTATACTGGAACACAATGAAGCTTAATATCTGCTTTATTTAGACTGCCAGATGTTATTATAAGTATAATTATGCAATGTACATGTATTTAGTTAATTCTAATTAATCAGTCTCTACTAATACTTACTTTTTTCAGTGCCATGTGTTTGCAAAGTTATGTAGTCAACAGAATGTCTAAAGTGGGCTATCAAAATAAACTGCAACCTATATTTTTTAAGCAAATTTTTGCACCATACTTCCTGATCAAAAACTACAATAGAATTTCATTTATTAACATTAGATAACTACAGATTAGTGTAAACAGTAGTTGATTTCAACATTACCAATAACAACTTTTGTTTTCAAAAGCATTTGTAAATATTTTATTTAAACGTAAATATGCTTTTACTTTGTTAAAGTTAAATAACAATGCATTTTAATTAATATTTTTGCTTTATAGTTGTACATTTATAGTTGTAAATTAACTAATGTTAATTGACCTTACTGTAAAGTATAACTCATCATTAAATACTTTTTTTTCTTAAATGTCATTTAAATTTTCTAAAAACCTTTAAAAAAGAATATATAGTTGAGTCAGAATTATTAACCCCCCTTTGAATTTTTTTCTTTTTTAGTGTTTCACAGTATGTCTGATAATATTTTTTCTTCTGGAAAATGTCTTGTTTGTTTCGGATTGAATAAAAGCCATTTTTTATACAGTATATATTTTGAGGTCAAACTATTAGCCCCTTTAAGCTATTTTTTCTCTCGCTAGTCTAAAGAACAAACCATCCTTAAAAAACTTAAGGATCCTAAAAACTTACCTAATTACCCTAACCTGCCTAGTTAACCTAATTAACCTAGTTAAGCCTTTAAATGTCACTTTAAGCTGTATAGAAGTGTCTTGAAAAATATCTAGACAAAAATTATTTACTGTCATCATGGCAACGATAAAATAAATCAGTTATTGGAGAGGAGTTATTAAAACTATTATGATTAGAAATGTGTTGGAAAAAATCTCTCCATTAAAAAGAAATTGGGGGGAAAAAAGAAACAGGGGGGCTTATAATTCAGGAGGGCTAATTCTGACTTTAACTATATATATATATATATATATATATATATATATATATATATATATATATATATATATATATATATATATATATATATATATATATATATATATATATATAAATAAATTGCAATTGTTAAATTTGGTTTATGTAATGTTTATAATGCTTATGTATTTAAAATAAAGATATCTGGTTCAGTGCATTTCCCATTTTGACAAAAAAAAATCAAGTATTATGATACTCTGGGTTTAATAAAAATACTAAATAATAAAAACAATAATAAAAAAATTATACTTTACCAAAAACTACTTTAATTTAATAAAGTGCACATAGTACAGTAAAACATTCACAAAAGGAATTTTGTATTATATAAAATATTGTCTAGAGTCAGGTGGAAAAACAATGTAAATCATTGAAAATCATGATATAAGTAATACCATTAGAGGATTTAACTGAACATTTTGAAAGAGAAAGCTAAATGTACTGTAAGAGATAATAAAATAAAAATATCAGTTTCAGTGCATTTCTAAATTTGATCCAGCATTTTTATTTTATAAAACTACTTCATGGAAGCAAAACTAATCAAATTATCAGATTTCCGAGTGTCTAATCGAAGAGTAAGCCAGATAATGTTCACAAAGATAGTAAAACTAGGGTGTTTCAGTGATGGTACAGTGGTGTGGTGTGGTGGGCTGGTCCACCTGTTAGGCAGGACTTAAAAGCACATTCTGTTTTTGCTGTAACACATGGATCTGAGGCACTGATTTGCGTACTTGGTTTATTCGCAGTGCTATTTGGCTTGAAGATCTCTGTAGAACATCATGATCCTCCTGACTCCTACTTCTGGTATGTACATTTATTATATTGCTATTTTTCTAAATGACACCACGTCATCTCAGCTCCTTATACAACCAAATAAATTTCTGTTAGAATTTTTTTTACATCGTTTTAATAATGTGTGGCACTAACCTAAGTGGTCAGTACAAGAACTGGCACAAGATCTACTGTAGAAACAACTGTGCAGTTTGGGAAAACAGTTGTGGGTTTCCTAACTAACTAAGGGCATTTCTGTAGAGCATTGGTTGTACTTTAACTACAGTTAGTGTCTAGAGCTGGGCAATCTGTCATTGGTGCCACTTGTCTAATAGTTTCCTATTGAGGACTTTGTTTTAACTTTCCTAGTTACATTGAGGTTTAGTTACTAATTAATGCATTATTGTAAAAAAAAGATAGATGTTAACCCTGTCAATTTGTTCATTGGTCACTTGGTGGAGAGGAACTAGTCTAGCAAGAAGACCTTGAGTAATGGCTATGAGGAAGTCTTTAGCAAAAAATAAAAAGTTTCTAATGTATGTAGGCTTTTTGATGTTTGTTGATTTGATTGTTAAGATATGTACACTCCCACAACAAATGAGGTAAGACCATTAGCAACTCTACCACTCCACAAGGTGCTTGGAAACAAAAATAGCCAAACTGCAATGAAAAAAGAGGATTACAGCACTACTTTGGATAATACTAAAGCATTTCAGCTTAAAGGTTTTCTGCAGGGTATAAGACATACATCATGCAAAGGCATTTTACTCAATGGGTGCCCCAAGATGGAGATTATTACACTTTGGAATTATCAAAATATAGGAATTTATGTTATTTATCACAATAAATGCTGGAATCCTCTTTTTGTACACTCCCACAACAAAGCATTACTTCATACATTAAACTACATTCTAGTTCTTTGTTTATATAATGTGTAATTTTAGGTTAAATCTTCTAGGTTTATCTAAGGCTATGTTAACATTAGGTTAATTTTAATTTCATTGACAAAAAATGTCATCATTTTTGTGACTAACAAGTTTCTACCAACAAAAAATATATGAAAACTAAATGAAAATTAAGTGATGATGACGACAACTATAATAAAATATACTGATATTTTTTATTGGCTAATAAAAATGAGATGATAATTTGATTAAGGGGTGGTTTATATGTAACACATATCATTTGCTAGTCAAATGCCATTACTCTACTTACTGTATTTAATCAGTGCTATAGCTGAGCTCCAACTACTGTAACATCAACTATAAGAGTAAAGCTTGGTAGACTGACATTGCAAAGTGGAATTTTTAAAGCAATTTAAAGCCCTTTCAAAGATTCAATGGCTTGAAACTGGTTTAAAAAGTCCACTTTGCAATGTCAGTAGTATAACACATTTAAAAAAAGGGGTTGTAAATAAGTTAATAGTGTATTTTCAGTAGGCTACTGTTCTTACATGTGGATTGATTGTTGACACATAATTTTACATATTACTTATGATATAAATAAACAATGCATATTTAATTTTTGGTCTTCAATGGAAAGGCTATTGTAATAATACTGTTTTATTTAATTTTAAGTTTTATGTATTTTTTATAAATAATGTATACACTATTTTAATTAAATTACACTGAAATTAAAACAAATATATTTTAGTCAACTAAATCTTTAGTAGATTTAGTAGACTAAAATGCTTTGAAATATAGTCGATTTAAACCAGACTAAAACTAAAATGATTCAGAAGACTAAAATATGACTAAAATTAAAATACAATTTTTGTCAATAACTAAGGCTAAAACTAAATAAAAAATTGCTGTCCAATTTAACACGGGGCTTTTTATAAATTTACAGTGGATCTAATGCACTGACACTGTTTTTGAAGGGTCATGGCATTTCATTTGTCGAACAATAAGGTGTTACTTTAAACTGCATTTAACATGTTAGTCTTTTATTTGGTGAATCTGAAAAAAAAAAGACAAATATTGTTCTGTAATGTTGTACTGTACTATAATGCTTCAGACACCATTTTACTATATAATAAGTCTATTTACTACATTAACTACATTACTTTAGTTAATTTAATTATTAAACATTTGGGTTTGTTTACTGTTAAATTCACCAGGGCTTCATCTATTTAATCAAAATGTAACATTATTTTGAAACAGTTTTCTCATTGAATACATTTTAAAATATTTCAAATATTCCTGCCATGACAAAGCTACATTTTTAGATATCAATACTCAATTTTCAGTATCACTAGAGCCTTTTCCTATTAGAAAAAAATTCTTATTATAAACTTTGAAAACAGTTGTGCTGTTTAAGCTTTTTGTGAAAGCATGATGTGTAAAAAATGAATAATTAAATATAAAGTTTTAAAGAACAGCATTTATATGAAGCTGAAATGTGTGTAACATTGTAAATGTCTTTACTGTCACCTAACAGAGCAGTGTGGCGTGCTTTTGGAGCAGATCTGTCTGTTTTGCTGATCGGTGGAAGACGAGGGGAGTGTTCATTTGCTAGTGGCACAGAAATTACTCTCTTTAAATGTACATGTGTTTATGCATGCTTCACTTACATAGAAAAGCAGCTTATGCCAAATAACGAAAGCTGTGTTGTCAAATGACAATTTTTTGTGTCTTTTCTCATGCGATATCTGCAAATGGTGGCTCTTTTTGATCTCTAGCATATTGCATAAAATGTGATGCGAATGATAATGTGAATGTCTGTAGCAAAAAGACACATTCAAGCCACTTGAGATGTTCGTTTAGATTTTATGCCCACTGATTTCCTTCAACACAAAGACCTCTTTGTGCGACTTCATTGAAAATCACTGCAGTGTTTCAGCATCTTGGTCACACTTAAGGAAAAGCACTAGAATTTTAACAAGCCTTTCTTGCAGTTAATATTTTTTCTTTTGTGGTACATTGTGAATCTAAAAGTACACATAAAACTCTCATCTTTATAGTAAATCTTGCTCGGCAGAAGGATGAAATTGCAATGTGCTTAAATGCAGTAAAAAAACTGACCACTGAAATTATTAATTAAGATAAATCTAATTTAAAGGGGCTATATGTAAGAATCAAACAACTTATGAACATGAAAATTTTTTGCAAAAAGGTAGCTTACATATGTTACTATGAGCTATTTGAAATGCACAACACAGTTTCTCTCACACTTGCTTTATATTTTGGCCTATGACTAATTCTAAGTGGAGCGATCTAATATAGTAACTGTCAAATATTATCCTGCAAAGAACAATACTAGTTTGATTTTATCTTTGACTTTGAAGATGACCACAGAATAAGCAAGAATAAACCATGCGTTAAAGAATTTTAAATGCATTTACATTTTTTAAAGCACGGCTACGTGATGATTATCCCTTACATATATATTTTTTTTATTTTAATCCTCAAAATGGGTCACGACTGGCTATTTTAAAATTAAAGGAAATATCTAAATGCAGCAAAACATAATTTAATAAACAAACAACGGAGATCCAAAAAACACAAGGAGACAGGCAAGGTACAATAACTGACGAGAATGGAAAGTGCAAAAACTATAAGCACAAAGTGAATCAAACAAAAGCTAAACAGGAATCCAAAAACTTAGAGACGATACCAAACAAAGTGAGCAAACAAACAAACCAAACAAACAACCAACCATCTGGAGCATAAAATAAAGCAGGACAGAGTAAACCAGAACAGTGCAAAAATCTAAAGGCCAACTAACACAACATAACAGGGCTTATAAAGACAGAACTAATTGTTTCAACATTAGCACTTTGCTATGATCAGATGCTTTCTTAATGGCTGTTTTCTCACTTATTTATAGTGTTTATTTTGTAATTAAGATGAAAGTGCTAAGCATTTTTTTTTACATATTTATCTTAAAGGCAGCTGGATGTTTGGTGTTAGTATATTGGAACAAAGACATTTCCAGCTTATTTTCACTTCTAATGAAAAGAACTTCACTTTTAATATCCATCTTATTTGTCATGTGACTTGAATGGATCTAAACTTCCGGTCTCATTCTGTTCCATTGATTTATAGCCATAAAAACAGCTTGTCTTACTGCTTGATATTTTAAACTAGTATTTTCTTATAATAATGTTTTAATTTGAACTTATTGTCATAAATCTATTGTCGTAAACACACCGGGTTGTTGCGTACATTGTTTACTGCCATTTGTTATTTCTAGTCTACTACACATAGGCTACATAGAATAAAGTGAGTAATGGGTCATTGACTTATGTTTAACCTCTTATATTATATGTACACGATACTTTTAACAATTTGCAGTTAGCAGTTCACTAAACAAACACCGGTGTGGCTAATAACATGGGTTCTTTAATTCTACATAAAGCCCCTTTAGGATTTTACTGTTAATCGGCTGTGCACCACATGATTCCAGTTGTTGTGGGTGTGAACAAGCACAGTGAAAGATTTGATACAAATCAAGCGGCTGCTTTCTAAATATTTTCAGGGTGTCTTTTAGGCCTTGTTTAGAGGGCTAGTAGTTGTAGGTCAATATGATGGACCGTAGATAAATCATAACTCCAGAAATGTTTCCTCCTAAAACATCTTTCTGTTATCTGTTGAAAGCATGTGATATGATGTGGTAATGCATTGTGGTTTTAGTGCACAGCAGGATGAGCAGTCATTTGTAATCATGTTTTTTAACATTTCAAATAAGTGAGAAAGTTTCACTCTGTTGGTAAGTGTATGTTTTTTTCCCTCAGCATGTCTTATTTACATTTAATTTAAGTACCTTTTAAATATTACAGTCTGGTTGAAATTGCTGACTAGTTGAAATGATAAATATATATTTTTTTACATTAGAGTATTATTGATTTTTTATTTATACAGTGATCGTTTCATTTTAATATGTTTCTGTTGATTACATGTCTTTATAAGATAGTTAACTTTGATTAAAGTACATGATTTATTATGTAAGTAGTTATAAATATCACAATGCATGTTTTATTACTTACTAATGATTAAATGTTGTGCAAAGTCACTGGATAGAGTGATATGGAGTAACATTTTAAAGTTTAACTAGTTGACTTCATGCTGCTTTAATATATTTTTACATTATGTTTAACTCTCAAAACCATGCACAGACAAAAATGGAGCTGTTGTGTAACTGCTCACGTTTCTTTTTGGTAGCCTTTCTTCAGGAAGCGAAAAAGCTGCTCCTAAACGAACAGGCGAACTGGGCACATCTTAAGGAGTTTGCCCGTAAAAATGCTGCCAATGCTCTTTCTGTTGCCAACCTTCTCATGGGCATGGCCTCGATCCTCTGCAGTCTCAACGGGTATGCATTCATGCTTTTAACATTTGTACTTCACAGAGAAATCCAAATGAATAAAAACAAAACCACTCAAGAGATTTAAATGTAACAACAAGTAATCGTAGGGGATCATAAAAGTTTATGAAAACAGTGTTGTTTAAGTCAAGAAAAAATTAAAAGGACATAAAGATGTCACAAATATATATACAAATGACGTAGGTAAAAATAAAACTTTACTAAGGCGATATTGTTATTGTCAAAAAAGTTAAAAGGCCATAAAAATATCAAAAATATATACAGAAATGACTGGAGGTGACCATAAAACTTTATGAAAACTGTATTTTTATTGACTAGTTGAGTTCTCAGTAAGTTATGTTTATATTTTTTGTTTTACTTAATTGCGGTACTGCTTTAATTTTCAGCCATCATTATGCCGCATGCTGGCTGGTTCTGATTGGGTACCTGCTGGATTTGGCAGATGGAGCGGTTGCCAGGCACCTGAATGCATGTTCTGCTCTGGGTGAGTAGTGTTGAGTGTCCTTCAGTACAAGTGTGTGGAGCAGAGTCTTGCTGCTTTACATGTTTTTAGAAGCTTTTAAAGGGTTCTGTCATGCCTTGTTTACAAGATGTGATGTAAGTATTAGGTGTTGCCACAATGCGTTTCAGCTCAAGATACCTTACTGATTATTTATTCTACTATACGGTAATCTGTGCTGGGTTCCACACAATCCCTTTATGTTACTCAATTTTTACAAATTTAAGTGGATTGAACCTAAAACAATTAGGTTGTCCCCCCCCAAAACCAAAACAATTGTGTTGTTTCAACTCATTATAAATAAGTAGTTTAAACAATCAGCAAATGTCATTTTTTGAGTGTAAATGCCCTTTTTTTGTTTAGTTGGAAGCAAAACCATAAGGATTTTGTGTTGGTCTCTTTAAATGCAAATCAGCTAATGCTCTCCACCCACTTTGCCTTAACAGCTTGTGCCTTGTTGCTCTGGTAATAACAAACTTAATATCTGAATGCATTTGTAAAAGTAAATTTACTTACAATATATGATTTTCTGAGGTCAGAAAAGTTATGTTAAGAAGGACACAAAACTTTACAACATTTGTTAGGAACACATTACAATACGTTATGTCAAAACACAAATACACCTACTTTCACATAATATTAACCGCTGGGGAAGAAATTGCATGTGTATTAGTATGTTAGATCTGTGAAATGGCAGAAACAACACGCTACTTATCAAGGGCGTACTGTAGCAACCACGGGGTACGGGGGGATATGTCTCCCTCACTTTTAAAGACACCATTTAGAAACAGGTGATCATAATAAATATAAAATGAATGTAAAATTTTGGATCTCATTCAGCTGTCCCCCCCACTTTTAAAATGTTCGCTACGCCCCTGCTACTTATAGAACTCCACAAGGCCTCACCCCTTATATAGAAATTATATGCATTTGCTATACTGTGATGTGTATTTCCAGGAAAAAAGAAAAAAACTCAATTAAGGGAGTTAAGAAATAGTGCTTACTGATACAGTAAACAACTACCTTTTGTGACTTAGCAATTTTACATATTTTTTTCATGTTCCAACAGCATTACAGACAGATATACTGGTGTATACGGTATATTATTAATGGAATAGGTGTGATCAGTTTACTAACAGTTAAGCTAAAATGGTAAAAGTTGGCAAATTATGAGAAGTATTTAAATATGTATCTTAAATATGTTATTATATATGATACTGTATTTTAACTAAAGTTTACATTTTGAAATATTTACATTTGAAATATTTACGCCAAATATCAACAGTAAAAATGGAATTTGCTGCGGTAGGAGAAGCTGCGTCAATTTTTACTTCATCTAATAAATGCCTTGCGCCTCAGAAGACAAATGCTGACATGCAATGAACATGTGGTGCTGTTTGAAGGTGTGAGACGCAGAGCACAGATGCTCTTTATCTGGAGGTAATTAATAATATAATAGCACTAATACTAAAATGGTTAAAGCATTTAGGAATGACCAAAACAACATTTTAGATGTTTTACCTTAGTAGTCGGCCTGTCCATTCACACACATTTTTATCACGACCTCTTATAACAAAATCACATGACTTTTTTTAATGCACATACTGGAATTTGTGCAGTAAAAGTGTTGCCATCGTAGTTTAAGAGCATATTTTCTTTTTCAATTTAAAGTTTATCCTACTCAGTTATGCACAAATGTTTTCTAGTTTTGATATCTATTGGATTAATTCAGAGCTGCATGAGTTGTGCATTATCATTTCTATGTTTTTTGACTTTCTGTAAAAACAACAACAAAGGCAAAGCATGTTTTCTCATCTAAAGCACACAACCTTGCCAACTCTGTAGTTGTAAAGCAGTGGATGGTGTGCAGGTGGTCACGTCCACCCAGCTGCCTGAAATATCTATGCCGTGCCCTCACAATGCCTGCTCACTGCCACTCTTGAGCTGCTGTTGTTTTGCATGACCTCACTAATGGCTGATGTTTTGCCTCCAGTTCCCTCTCTGTTTTTTGTCAATTGAATGGTTTGTTTGTGATGAAGTGGCCTAACGCAGCAGGATCATGCTCTTATTGTCTGCTTTATCCTGATGCTTTGGACCACCAGCATATCTGGCGTGCCTTAAATTGTTGACAACAAGGTTGGAATTCCAACCCACTTGTTTGGACGCAAAGCCAAATGTTTCAACCTGATGAAAACATGCCCCCACCATCACACCACACTAGTGTTAAAACAGCTTCTGAATGCTGTTTATAGATGATGACTGGCATGAATGTTTACCTCTGTGTTACTCTTTTCAGATGGTGCTAGCGACCTTAAGGCAAAATACTGTACACCTCTAAATGTTTCTTTAACAATTCAGATTTTTTAAGACCGTGTTTTCTCCTCCTCTTCAGCAGCACTTACATACACTAAACTTCACAGTTTTATTCATATTTATATTCTGGTTTTCACAGACAGATATAATTGTACATAATTTGCCTGATTAAATACAATCATATAATTAAACCAGCATTTTTTCTGAATCTTGCAAGTGATAAAAAGTTATTTTTAAAATCAAATAATCCAATGATTTTGAAAAAAGAAATTAAACAAGAATTCAAAACCTGACTTCAGTTTTTTTTTTTGCTAGAAATACTGTATATAAAATGTATAAAAACTAATTCAACACTACGTAATTTGCCTATAATGTGGGGAAGTATGCTTATATATAATTACCTTAATCATCTGAAGTGTTTTACTTTAAAGGGATAGTTCACCCAATAATGAACATTTACTCAACCTCAAATGGTTTCAAACCTTTATGAGTTTATTTTTTTTTCAGTTGAACACGAAAAAAGATATTTTGAAAGATGTTGGAAACCAGTAACTATTGACATCCATGCTATCGGGATCAGTGGCTACCGGGTTCTAAAATTCGTCAAAATATTTTCCAGTTTGTTCAATAGAAAAAAGAAATGTTTATGACAAGTGAGCAATTGATGACAGAATTCTTTTCAATTTTGTCTGAACTATCCAGTGTACAAATTACAGGGGGGTTTAGGGGTGATTAACCCCCCTAATTAAGGCTTGATCCCCACATGAAGGACGTCAAAAAAAAAAAGGTGTATGGGGGGTGTCAGCCCTTTAATAGTGCAAAATAGTTCAAGCTGATCTGTATTTTAAATAATAATGGTAATGATTAAAATAACAGATAATATAAATATACATTTGACCACCCCTATAATGGTTAATATCACTGTTAATCCTTAATCGGGCCAATCGGTCTATGCAAGAAAAACAAATCATTAAACAGTCTGAAACTGACAGATTTAGAGCACCGATTGACATCGTAAGTGTTCACAAAACACTTTTAGGTATTGGTGTTGGTATCAATATATAGCCTAAAATAAATTAAAATTAGGTGCATAGTTTGTATAGTTTGACCTCCAGTAACCTCTTCATTTATTTTCTTTTCGGCTTAGTCCCTTTATTAATCTTGGGTCGCCACAGCAGAATGAACCGCCAACTTATCCAGCTTAGGTTTTACGCAGCGGATGCCCTTCCAGCCACAAACCATCACTGAGAAAATCCAGTAACCTCCACAATAACTAATTAGAGGATACTGCAGGTCAGACACTAAATATCCCTCAAAACACTCAACACTTCACAACATTTTAATAATAAATTAGATGTAATTTAAATAAATACAAAAAGGACTAACACTTGTATTACACAAACTACAGTAACATTTCTGAAAAAGTTGACCCCCCATCTGATTGTTACTGTATAATTCGCACACTGGAACTACCCCTTTAAGTAGGTCTTGCTCTACTGGTAAAAATCAGGCGATTAGCATCACAAAAGCCTCACAGTAACTGTCAGCTTTAGCAATGGGAAGTCTGACTCATTCCCGGAAATCAGTTCTTTCAAAGTAACTTTAAGCCAAAGGATGCTGAGCTGTCATGCCACTTAGTGATTTCCCATCAGGCTTTCAAACAAAATGGCTCCACAAACTGTGGAGTTATTAAGATTTTAGGATGTCAGCATGATTTCACATCACATCTGACAGTGTTTTTAAGTGGCATCCTTGGCACTGACTTAGTGTCTTGCTGTTCTGTTTTTGCTGTCTGGTGTCAATTAATTAATTTGCTTTTCTTTCTTGCAGGTGCAAAGTTGGATGATTTTGCTGATTTCACAACATTTGGAATAGCAACTTCACTCCTCCTGAGGACACCCAGTCTGCTGGATAACATCCTGTGCATGCTCTACATGCTGTCTGTCTTTGTACGTCTCTGCTTCTTCTCCAGCGGTGAGGATCTTCTGCAAAACTTGTTTAAAACACATGCAGATTACTTTAGTTGGCAACACAAGCTCCATCTTTTAAAATGTGCACTTCACAGAATGATACGTGGCTGCCACTGGAAAACCTAACCTATGACAAACATCGAAAATCTGAAAAAATGTTGGTTAATATAGTTTACCCTTTGGGAATACTTATAAGATCTTTCTTGATGTCTATACAGGACTTGTGATTTCCTTTCAATCCTATTTGATTATTATTGGAAAACTGTTTCAAAACCATGCTTAATATTTTGATCAGTCATGTTTTAACATCCTGTCCTTTAATTTACATTCTGTAACATCATTATGTGATGTGACTCTGTAAATGTTAAATTAATTAATTTAAAAAGCACATAGAGACAGCTGTCATGGGCTGAAACACTACCATTTTAGCTGCCAAACTCAAGTAAATCTGACAACATTTATGTGAAATAAATTACCATATTGTTAGGAATATGTCACATTTTTGTGCTGTGACTAACAGCATGTTTCATATATTATATTATAAGTGTCTTTATATATAAGGCACTTATAATATCATATAATTTAATATATTATAATAACATATATTATACTGTAAGTGCCTTACATTATATAATGTAATTAATGTCAAGCAAGCAAAATGTTCAAGAAGTGCTATATACATTTGGTTTTGACCCTGAGAAATACAATTGAGTATTGCATATTGGTTCCACCTTGATACATTTATTTATTTAGGCTTGATGTTTATAAAAAAATGTTTAAAAGTAATCTAATATTTTATACTTGCAGATTTAGATTTCTGAAAATGTTGCATTTAATTTTTTTTTTTTTTTTTTGTGAGGGGATCTAAAATTTATATCTTGGAAATAATAAAAAGCAGAACACTAAATTAAATTTGTTTTGAGCGAAACTGTAAAATATGTCTTGCACACTGGTGGGATTTGTCTATGTTTTCCCCTCAGTGCACTTGCATTGCAATTTATGCTATTTTCAAAAAATATGATAATACTTTTATTCCCTGATGATGCACTTATTGGATCAAAAAGTGATAAAAGAGTATATATTAAGATAAAAAAAAAGATTTTTATTGGAGTAAATGCTGTGTTTTAATTTTATATGGGGTTAACTTGTTAATAAAGGTTTAGCGGCGGAACCACGCCTCACTTTTGTCTCCTTAACCAATCACCTACTTCCATAAACTTACTGTTCTTCTTGTTCTTTGAACCCACCCCCTCCCTCCATTTACTCGCTTCCCATTCACAATCCTATAACCCTCTTTGTTCCTACATGTAGGTTGAATCGGGGGTTCCATTCACTCTGCCAAACTATTACAGAGACAGAACCCCCACTCTGAGTCTCTGGGCATAGTAGGATGCCCGATCAACCTACCCACCTGTTCACCAGTCATCTTCTTACTCCCCTTTCCCTTCATTCAACTGTTCTCCTACCCTCCCTTTCATCCCTCTATGGTAAAGTCTAGCTTAAAGTGCTAGTGCTAAACCTTTGGCGTGGACCATGCCAGTGAAACGATTCTTAAAACATTATTGTGTGCAATAATACTATAATCCCTATACCATATGAATGATTTCTGAAATATACTGTGGAAATAAACATTGCTACATTTATAAATGTATTTTTGCAGTAATTTTGAAGTAAAATGAAAATATACTTTAAGATCCAATAAATACAGTCTTGGTGAGAATATTAGACTTGTGTACTGTATGTGTAGACTGTATGTGTGTGTATGTTTAAATATGTATACAGTATCAATAACAGTTTCAGTATTTATAATTTCAATATCATTATAAATTTATTATTATCTTTTGTAGGAATCCCATTTGTGTACCGTGGCCTGCCGTGCATCTACTCCTCGGCCATCCTCGTGTGTGGTTCTCTACTGACTGGAGGAAATATGGCCGTACTGAGAATCTTAGCTGTGGCCATGATTCTCTTCATGATCAGTCAGAACTTCTACCCGCATGACAGAGTGCTGGAGTCCCAGGCCTGGAAGAAGGTGGTCTACATCGGAGGTAAAGAGTGTTAATTAATAGTCTCCAGCAGAAGTGCCATACAATTGTTTTTTGAATGAATGAATGAATGAATGAATGAATGAATGAATGAATGAATGAATGAATTAGGCGACACGTTGGCTTAGTGGTTAACACTGTTGCCTCACAGCAATGTTGCTGGTTCGAGTCCTGAAAGATTCAGTTGGCATTTCTATGTGGAGTTTGCATGTGCTCCCTGTGTTTTGCGTGAATTTTTTTTGGGTGCTCCGGTTTACCCCACAATCCAAAGGCATGCGGTACAGGTGAATTGAACAAACTAAATTGTCCATAATGAAAGAGTGGTATGGATGTTTTCCTAATACTGGGTTGCAGCTGGAAGGGCATCCGCTATATTTAACATATGCTGAATAGGTTGGCTGTCCATTCCACTGTGGTGACCCCTGGTGAATAAAGGGAAAATGAATGAATGACTCAATCGATAAATTAATTGAAAATAAAAAAGTGATCAGATTGAAAAATAAATTTTCAATTTGACATTTGCTAAAATCACATTTAAAGTGCCCTATTATGCTATATTAAATGTTCATGTTTGTGATTAAATGTAAATGTTTGGAGATCTCCTGCAGTAGATTTACAACACTCCAAAGTAAAAAAAAAAAACTACCATTTTCTCACACACAGTACCTTACAGTAGCAACTCTTCTCACAGTGAAACGGTATCTTTAAAGGGTTAGTTTACTCAAAAATAAAATTCTGTTAATTACTCACTCTCGTTTTTTTCAGTCCCCTGAGACCTACCTCCATCTTTGGAACACAAATTAAGATAATTTAGATGAATCAAAGGGTGCTTTCACCTGTCAATCGATTAATTTGTTCCGAAACAGGGATTCAAATTGTTACAGTTTTGCTCTTAGTTCTTGGTCCGTTTCGCTATCACACGGCAAAGTTTCTAAACTAACCAAAAAAGCTAAAACATTTTCTAAAACTCTCCTAACATTGGTCAGAGTTTCATGGTTTATTTTGCAGAGTCCCACTCAGCTGTCATGCATCCTTATTTTAATTTATGGTGATGGGCAGTAAGACATTTTAAGCGGAAAGCTGCACTTTAATTTTGAATGGTGACACCCTCAGACATCGTCACCAGATATAAGTCAGAGGTAAGACTCTCTCATACAGAGTCCTTGGCTAGACTGCAGTTCGGTCAATGTTTCTAATGAAATAACAGCTCTCGTTAATAGTTCAGCATGCTTTCACTTTCGTATTTAACATTAAACGCACATTTACCGGTAGGAATGTCCTCCCGCCCTTTTCATAATTTTCTCTTCATATAGCCTAAGGCCTATTACATATCCATAATACACTGTGATATAGCTGGGCTCGGATCATTTTGCTTTCTCACTACAATCGATTTGCTTTAGAATTTGTTTTAATTGAGCCAAGACCACCTCATTCAGGCGATCTCGGACCGATTAATTTGGCGCAGATACGAGTGCGATTGCTGGTTTCACATATGCCAAACGAAGCGCACTAACTGGGCAAACGAAACAGGTTCCGAAACAAAAGTCAAAGAGTGAAAGCACCTTAAAACAGCTCTCTCTATCCTTTATCAACAGCACCGGTCCCGAGATGTCCAGAAAGTTTAGAAAATAAACCAAAAACATTATCAAAACATTCCATATGACTTCATATGACTCTCCAAAAACTTTTTTTATGCTAAAAAACCCTGTAAAAATTACACCTGAAAGAATGAAGTTTTTTCAATTTAAAAAGTGATATATATGTTTATGTTTATAATATGTTTATAGTGTTATTTTAAATATGTGTTAAAGGTGCAATAGGTGATTGTCTTCAAAAAAAAATTTAAGTGCTGGTTAAAGTCTCTTCACATGCTGATAGCAATGATCACAGTAAGTCATCAATGGCAAACAAATATAAAGGTAAAATCAGTAGCTAAATTCGAGAGCTTGCAAATCTGACTATGAAACCCTGTCGTATAAAATTTGTATTTGTAAGTTGAAATTTACACTCACAGCTCTGATGTGAATATCTGAATCTCAATTTACACACAGACAATCAATAAACCCATTTTTTATTTCAGAATTGCAGCTAGAATAGTTAGAGCTGAAGTGAATAACTGAATTGCTGTTGAACTGAATTTGTCAGATGTCAGTCACATGAGCAAAAGGACAGAAACACTTGTGTATCGCATGTTTATACTAGCACTTTATTTCAATTTCACTGTACAACCACAAGATGGTACTCACAACCCTTTAGATCTGGCCCAAAAAATTCATCTCCCATCGCTTTGTCTTTTTAAGTTGTCAAGTTGAGCTTTATTGTCATTTCGTTACACGTGTAGACATTAGGCATGGGAAGATAAGCTTTTCAAAGTAAACTGTGGTTTGGAAAAGTCAAGGTTTTAAAACCGTCAAAATTTTCTGCAATACCGTTCTTAAGGTATGTGTACAATATTTTATTGACTTTTTGGTTGTTGTTTTTTATAACAACAGTATCTCCAGCAGAAAAGATATCCATAGATGCCATTTTAAATTGTAAAATAAAACCTGTATTTGAAACTAATGAAGATAGTAGAAGTTAAATTATTTAGCCTGACATGTTCACTGCTCCAAAATATTTTAAATGTTTCACAAAATAAAATATAGTGTTTAAAGGAAACAAGTTTTTGTTTTTTACCCAGACATTTAAAAAGAATATGTTTTAGAGCAGTAATCACAATACCGTAAAACCGTGTTATTTTTATCCAAGGTTATCATATCGTCAGAATCTTATACAGCCCATGCCTAGTGGACATACAATGTTACTCCTTTTTGTGATATCAATGACTATAGAATAAAAGATACTGTATGTTACGTGTATAGTTTTGAATGGGGTAAAGTGTAATGGTGAATATTCAAATAATTTGATTTAATTTCCATTCAAATCCAAACCACATGACAGAAACCACTTGAATATGCACACAAACTTTCAAAGATGGCCACTGATCGAGTGAAATGATTTGCCTTAAAGGGACTTTTGCCATATTTCAAAACTCACTTTTGCACTCACTTAATGCACTTAATGGGAACCACAGGGTGGGGGAGGGCTTGAAGCAGAGATGAAGCCATTTTATTGGTTGATCCCTGACCTACGGTATAAACAACGCCAGCCAGGGACGTGCATTTTCAATGCTATCAGGCTCAAGTTAGCATTTTCCCAGATCTCCTGCTGCATCTTTAACTATAAAAAGAGAAATATCAACTACTTTTTATTATTTATTTCATATTCACTACTTTTTCTCTCTCTCTTCAGGAGTTGTGATGGTGTTCTGCTCCTCCTTTCCTCCAGCTTGTGTTTACTACTTGTTATGGTCAGTTTCCTATATACTGTTTCCAACAACCCTGTGGAGCTGCAAAGTGTAAGAGAGGCTCTGTCCTCACACAATCCCTTTCTGCTTCTTGAAAACAACTCAGAAAAACTTTTTTTTTTTTTAATCATTTTTGTTTTGAAGTGATGAACTTCATGAAATGGACGTCCTCTGGGAGGCTTCGGACGTCTTGATTGCTGCTGATGTTTTTTGCTAAGAATGAGAAATGCTTTCTGCCTCACATACAGTATAACGTCATGCTTTTAAATGTCACGTTGACAGAAATATTAACAGTATGTGTGTTGTTTGTCTCACAGCTCGGTCTGCCTGAATCATATGTGAGGCAAGAAACTGTGTAGAGATTGTCAGATTTGCTGTGGATTTTATATTCTTATGTTTTTCGGTTGTTTGAGAGACTGATTGGAAAAAGGTTTCACAACTCAATAATCACGATTTCTGATTACATTGCCTCTTAAATCAATACTGTAAGGATGCTTAGACATAATTTAAAACAATGAATACTGTAAGGGAATTTGTATGCATGTGATCTGTGTAAATTAATGTAAAAACACTGCAGCGTAATCAAGGTAGAGGTTAAAATCCTCATAGACTGTAGTTTATCTATTGCCTGTTGATGTGTGAGTTGTATGTTCCATATAATTTTAGATGGGTCTTCAAACAAATGCCTCGTAACAATATGAAGACTATGGCAGTTGGATTTATTTTGATAAGTTTATCTGTATCATTTAAGGGCCTCTGTTTTAAGGGGTCCCGACTCCTGTTTAGCGAGTGATTTTGCATTGGGTTTGCTGAGTACTGTAATACTGCAACAACAGTATTAAGGCCTTACATTGTGTTCTGTTGCACCAACTTGTGATTACTTTTTATTAAAATTTAAGGGGTGTTTAAAAAAATGGTGTTGTGGTTTTTGCAGTTGAACCACTAATGGATTTTGTCTTGTGTATATTTTACAGTTTTGTTAAATGTTTTATCAAAATATTCAAGTAGTTTTGCTGCTGTGCATATTATAGGTTATTTTAAAGTTGAGTTGACTAAACTTTGTGACAAAACACATTTACAGCTGTTTAATTTGCAGACATTTTTATTTTAAAAGGGCTGGCAGCAACACATGAACAAATGAAGAGCATGTTTTACAGACGCAGGGCATATAGAGAACAGACATATAATAAAACAAAAAGAGGGATTTTTGTTGTATTTACAACTTTTTTCTTCTACTGGAAAATATCTTAATTCTTTTAGTTTGGTTGAAAAAAAGCAAGTTTTAAAAATGGTAAAAATGATTTCAAGGTTAATATTATTAGCTCCCTTAAAGGGATAGTTCACCCCAAAAAAGGAAATTCTGTCATTTACATCATTCTGTTTCTTTCTTCTGTTGGACACAATTGAAGATATTTTGAAAAATGTTGGAAAACCTGTAACCACTGAGTGCCATAGTATTTGTTTTTCTTTCTATTAATTTCAAAATTGACAGGTTTTAAGCTTTCTTCAACATCTCCATATTGGTATGAAACCACTTGAGCGACTAAATAGTGAGTACATTTTCATTTTGGGGTGAACTGTCTCTTTAAGAAATAGTTGATGATTGGCTACAGTGCAAGCCACTGCACTGTAAAACCGATAAGTTAAGTTAACTCAAACTGTTTGAGGAAACCGATTAAGGCAAACCATTTAGGTTTTGAAACAAAATAGTTTGGGTAATGTAAAACTATATATATATATATATATATATATATATATATATATATATATATATATATCATTTACTCTCATCATGGCAAAGACAAAAGCAAATAATGATTACAAACTAGTAAATAGGAAATAAATAATTACAAATTAGGTTGGAAATAAGCTTCTTTGCCTTAAACAGCACTTGGGAAATATTTTTGAAAAAATTTGAATTTCACAAGAGGGATAATAATTTTTGATATATATATATTCCAAATGAATAAACTCTCAAAAAATATTCTCATTAGATTTTTTAGACTGCTACTAACAAACCAAAAAGTATCAAAATGTAGAATATTATATATCAAATAAATAGCATCAATCACCCAACACTTTAATCCAGAACTAAAATTATGAATGACAAAGATATTGAAATTTTATAATATTATTTTGTTTACATTTGTACCAATCATCTATTAACGATGATCATTTTCAATATGCAGAAGTATGCTAAAGGACTTTTAGTTTGCCAGTAACCTGGGTCAAGCGCTTCCGGTGAACTGAATGCCATTATAAAATCGCCACGTTTAAGATCTGTTTTCTTTAGAAATCAGTGATCTCCACTGGCTGACTTATATCCGTTATATAATGGGTCTCAGATTCTACAACATACATTGCATTAAATTACATTTTCCCCTGCCATGTTTTTAATTAAAATATGAATTTGTTTTACCCCAGTATATTCAATGGAGCTTCTACTGCCTGCCAATTTTGACGGGCGCCTGCGAGTAAACGGCTTTTTGTCTTGTTTTACGCTTGAGCAACTAAATGAATGCCAAAGTCTATTTAACCGAATGTATTTTAATTACATTACAATATCGATGCTGTAAAAGGAACCATATAAAATGGGGGGGGGGGGAGTCACATTAACCGTTCACCGGAAGTTTATCAGTATGGGAAGAACCACTAGCTGCCCATATGGCATGCACCAAATTTCAGGGGTTTCATGACTCAAATCTTCATTTCTGATTGACATTTCTGAGAATTATGGCGCCCTCTAGTGAAGGAGACGTTGCTTGTTCAGACTAAAACAGGGTTTTCAAATATATAGTTGCGACTGACACTGAAATATGATTACACTGCGAGGCACACACATTGTAAAATGTAAAAGAATATGAAATTTCTTGTGTAAAGCACCCGTTTATACTATCAACATAGTCATTTTTTTCATCACATTTATTCATGTTAATTATTTTATCAATATAGTTTTGTTTAATTTTTATGTATTTCTTTAATTTGGACTAATATTAGTTTTTCTTGTCCCTTGCAGCTAGATAAAATACAGCAGACATGTGCTGAATCAATATTCAATATACAATATATATTCCAATAAAAAGCATGCATGATATTGTAATCATAGCCATTTGTACAGTGTACTACAGTAGCATACTGCATAACATATTGATTGAAAACATTCTTATTCTTTATAGGCCTTCAACGTTAACTTTAACATTCAATAACATGTTACATTAAGGCTGTATTTATTAACATTAGTTAATTAAAATACACTGATAACACTTCTCAATATTGATGTCAATGGCTTAACTATTAACTTCTAATAAGATTTTATTGTAAAGTGTTACATACTGTAATTTTATAATCATTTTGCAACTTAGATTGAAACATTTGTTTACTCTGAACGTTTATATATAATAAAGCACAAAACATAGACTTTTTGTTATCATACCAGTTAAAGTATCCCTTTTTTGCAGCTTAGGTCAATATTGTGATAAAAATATATATACTGTAGCATATTAGAAGCTGCAATAAGGGGGGGAAAGTGTACAGTGCTGCTCCAGTAATTATCTGTGTTTGTTGGTGCAGTGGTTTACCAGCTGAAGCAAAAGAAAATGATAAATGAACAAAGATGACACAAGAATATTTAGTTCTGTAAACCACAGCAAAATCATCATCACAGGCCCAAAGTCTTGCCTGATTGTCATGCTTATTTGTAAAGTTATATTTCTGATGTGTGTTTATTTTCATCTGCTGAAGTCCATCTTGTGCACTAAGCCAAATAAATAGCTTATTGCAGCTTTCAAGGGTTAAGTCACCCCAAAATTTTAATTCTGTCATTGCTTACTCACCCTCATGTCATTCTTATCTAAACCCATAATAAATGTGTTCATCTTCAGATAAGACCTAAATGAAATCTGTTCATTATATAAATTTAATGTGACACAGAGGACTTGTAATAAACTGCTCTGTTCACATGTATATTTCTGAACCTCTTTCTTGAAGTTTTGAAGAATCAAGAGTTTTGAGCGAACAGACTTTTATCTGAGGGACAGAAATCTTTCAAGGAATGCTCCACTTTTATTGAAAATAGGCTCATTTTACAACTCCTCTAGAGTTAAGCAATTTTTGAATCCATTCAGCCAATCTCCAGGTTTGCTTTAGCACTTTTAGCTTAGTTTAGCATAAATCATTGAATCAGATTAGACTGTAGCATCTTGTTTAAAAAATAATAATAATAATTTTATTATTTAAAACTTAACCCTTCTGTTGTTGCATTGTATATTAAGATTGATGGAAAATGGTATTGGAACACTTACAGCAGGTTTGGAAAAAAATACATAAGATATTTATAAGATATTTAATTTGTCCCATTATAAACAAGGCTATTCTTTATTATGGAATAACCCTGCTATTAAGACAGGAGAGAAAAATGTGTATTAGAATGATTGGTGTAAAAAAAGGCCTAAAAACAATTGATGATTTACAGTATATGGACAGAAGGCACTGTATTCATTTCAGGATTTGAAAGCCAAGTTCAAATTATTAGATAAACAGGGTTTTGGCAAATAAATACAATTGCAGTAGTATAAGATCTGTTGGATTCAAGGCAGGAGCAGAAGAAAGTGTTTTATTAGGGTTTCTAAATATGTCAAAGTCAGTGCAAACTACATCCTTTCTGTATAGAATTGCTACAAATGACATGTACGGAAAAAAGAATCATTTAACAATTGTTTGGGAGCAAGATTTGGAGGTGGAATTTAAAAATGGTGAATGGGAAGCTGTCCTGTGAGAGATGCTATGCATGGTATAACTCGTACATTACAAGATAATTAAACAATATTACTGGACCCCAGTAAGACTGCTAGGATTAATGAAAAATAATCACTTTTGGAAGTGTGGTCATTCTGTGGGCACCTTTTCAGATTTAATGTGCAACTGTCATTTGGTGGCTCTATTCTGGACAAGAGTTATTCAAAACCTTGAGAAATTGCTGGGATAACCTTTACATTATTCACCATGAGTTTGTCTTCTTGGTGATGCATCCGCTCTACAGAAGGGAATATCTAAAGCACAGGCTGGGCTAGTCGTTGCAGGATGTATTATGGCTGTGAGACTGGTGCTGCGAAATTGGAAGAACTCAGATACTCCCTCTTTTAAAGAATGGATTGAGCTGACGACTTCTACTTTATCATATGAACATATGTTGACAAGACTTCAGGACTCCACCCATACTTTCAATTAGAAATGGGGTAGCTTTTTACAGTATTCGGAGAGCATGTAAAGGAAAAATTGAAGGGCTGTCATTTTGTCTGTAGTATTATTTTCTATTTTACATTTGTTATAAATGTTGTTCTGTTAATATTTTTATTATAATTTGTTTACATTATTTTCCTCAAAGTTGATTTTGTATAGTGAATTTTTTGTTCTTTATGGTATAAAAGTTTAAAATCATAATAAAAAAGTCCAATGTCAAAAAAAAAAAAAGGTGGAAAATTAACAGTTGCTATTTTCTAAGCCGATATGGGTAGCAATTGTACTCTCATTCGGGCATGATAATCAAGGAATAAACTATTAAAATTGCAATTGTTGATTTTCATCTGTACATTTTCAAATTTTTAAGCAATATGCTAATGGTCTAATCTGATTCAATGATTTATGCTAAGCTAAGTTAAAAGTGCTTCGCCTGAATGGGTTTAAAAATAGTAGGGTGTCTCTAGGGGTGTTGTAAAATGAGCCTATTTCCAATGTGTGCTTCTTAGCTGTGGTTAAATCAGCTTCCAGAAATGATGTGCTCCAACAATAGGCGCATTTAAATAGACTTAAAACAGATCTGTTTAGCTGTGCCTTTACTAAATGAACACTGTGCTACATCCGACAGATCACACTGTTATATCTTTCTTTTCTTTTTCATTCCTTTAAAATACATTTTATTTAAATTGAAATTAAAAAAATAAATAATTAATAATAATTTCCTTTAATCATATTTATACTTTGTATTTTATGTTTCTTTTATTCTTGTTTATGTAAAGCATTTTGGATTACCATTGTGTATGAGATGTGCTGTATAAATAAACTTGTCTTGCCTTAAATAAATCTATATTTGTGTTCTGAAGATGAACAAATTCCTATATGTTTGAAATGACCTGAGGGTAACTTAGTTCTGCCAGGCACCATAGAAATGAGCAGGACATGTGTAGAGTTCATGATGGCAGTCCTGCTTTCTTCTTATATTCACTGACGTCTATTTGCACTTCAGAGCAAAGTGGTTTTGTGTCAGCAAAGTAGCTGTATGAGTCCAGAAGCCGAATGATGGCAGAATAAACTGGCCGGTCCTTGAAGTTCCACATGCAGCAGTACTTTATTAAGTCAAACCTGCAGGGCATGCCAAATAACATGATTTTCTTGCAGGTCATTGAGGAGCAGGATGACTATTTGTTTTCATTGTCAATTTGTTATGGAAAAGACGAAAAATGCTTACAATGGAGCTCCACAGTTTTCTGGTCTTTTCATCCGGTAATGGGCTAAAGTTCTGGGCAGCACTTCAGACGGGTCCAGGTCAGGATAAGGAGGAGACCCTTTCATAGAACATGGAAGGTAAATAAATTAGAGCTTCATTGTTTTATTCATGCTATTTTTAATAAACTTTTATGTGTTTTAGGAACTATTTTACCCAGGGTTATCATCTCATAAAGCAGGATTCCAAAGGACCATCTGGGGGAGTATGACACAACTTATGAATAATCATATCAGCAGATTATAGTCAAAATAATTAAAAATTATAATTTATACTCATTAAAAATATTTATATAATTATAAAAATATAAAAATTATAATAATTAAAATTATAGTTTGAGAAAGCATTAGGGTTTTTCAGGGTTATAATTGTTTAATTTCCAATTATGAAGAAAAAAAACTAAACAAAAAACAAAAACCAAACATATTAATAATACTTTTGAATTCAAGAACAGATTTAACCAATAAGCAAGGTAAGTGGACGCTTAAGGCCACAGGAAATTTGGGGCCCCTAATAAATACCTAAGTTTCTATAAATTATATATAACGTAATTTTCTAACATATTCTAACATAACATTATCCTAAGTATTACATCCCCTTTCCTCCACCACCCCCAATCACCATCAGTCCAGCAATTAAATCAGATGAAGATTTATTAGAACCAAATAGTTTATTCATTATTTTTAGTTGTGAATTCATTTTAAGCAAATAAAGCATTTAAAATGTATAGATTTTGATAAGATAAATGTGAAAGAAGATTATATAAGAAAAAAAATGTTTTGACTTCCCTTTCAAATAATGGCTGTAAACAAGTTCAAGTGAAAAACAGGCAATTTAGTTCTTACTGTTGTAGTCTAAGAAATGTAAGAATAGGCTATGCTATAGAGCCATTGTAGGATTTGGATTTTGCACATCGTTGGATTTACTCTTCAATGTTTTGGCTTTCAGCAGTAACATTCCCATTAGACTGAACTGAACTAAATTGAACTGTTTTTGAAGAAAGACATAGAGAAATAATCTGAGAGAAGAACCAAATTTTAGGAGGTTGAAAACAAGGACAACTTAAAAAATTGTGTATGTATGAAGTGTGAAATTATGAAACTGTCTGGAAAAGATTCTCAAACAATGTCAGGATATTAATACATTTAAAAAGTTGTATAAATATATATTATTAAAGGAATTTAATGATTAGTAGAAATTATTGTAAAATTATGGAAAAATGTCCATATATATATATAATTTTAATTTATATTTTATTTTTGACATTTTTCCATAATTTTACAATGAGAAAAGTATGATGAAATTTCAATCAATGGCTGATACAATACTACTGTATGTTTTTTTTTAATGTTATAATATGTAAATGTACAAATGGACTCAAACCTATTTTGTCAAAGATGTTAAAATGATAAAATAAGTCTAATGTAAAAAGTAGAAATAAGTGAAAGAAGAAATAAGTTAAAGTAATAAACAAATGATGTGTGTGGGTAATCGGGTACGGAAAATAAGAAGCCTGTGCTTCATCCTGCTCCATTTCAACCATGTTGAAATATATTTTGTTTAAAGAATTGTTTTGTGTATGATTTTTCTGTTCGAAATAAATAAATCAAATCAACTGAGAACTGAACTAAACCTGTTTCAATTGATTAGAACTTCATCTATGTTAAGCTGCTTTGACACAATCTAGATTGTAAAAGTGCTATAGAAACAAAGATGAACTGAATTTAATTTTCCAAACAGGTCGCATGCTGTGTGTCCATCCAATCAAAGACAAATAACACTGAAAATATGGAAAAGGAACAAGGATAACTCAGGATTCCATTTACCTGGGGTAAAGAATGAGCCATGCTATTTCAAGTGTAAAATACCCTTCTTTATATCCTGACAGACTTACACATCACTCCTGTCTGTTAGAGGGAGCCTCATCATCCGTTCCGGGGCCTGCCATTTTACCGGCACGTTGGCTTCTTGTTCCCTGTCCACTTTTTTCTTCTGTCTGCTCTCAAAAGCAAAATCCAATCCAGAGACCTTGACAGAGAACGCTGAACCGATCAACATGTTCCTCGCTGCAACATCCCCATGAATTACTCTGTGGTGGGAGTGTAGATAGTCCTAAGATAAACCATAAGTGAACAATTAATAAATTGTCATTTGGTTGATAGATGTTCTATTAAATACTCACCAGACCCGCTGCTATCTGCTTAGCTACTAGAAAGACTGATTTTTCTGAAAACACTGAAGATTCACCACACCTGTCCTATTCAATGTGTTAAATTCAGAAGAAAAAATTAGTGATATTTGTCATAACCAATCTATTTTCTTTGTCAATATATTCTATAAGTCTTTTTACCTCTCGAAGACTCCAGAGGAAATTCAAGAGGTTTCCTGGAACGCTTGCCTCCAAAAGCAGGTACATGGGCGTCCGGCGTGTCTGGCAGAAAAGCAGCTTGACTATATTCTCATGTTTGCTCACTGCTGCATGGAAGAGGACCAAATCCATAAATTCTGCAGACTCCGATTGAGTTGATCTGTCTGAAACAAGAAGATACACTGAGTCACTTGCTATGTTTCCATCTAAAGATGCGAATGAAACCTGGAATATTGCATTAAGCATAATGAAGCGCCGTTTTCATCCAATGAGTCAAAGAGAAAATTTATCACTTCCTGAGAAACTTGTGCCAAAAAAATAAAAAGGAAATAAGAAATTTGCAAAAGTGCAAAGGATTTTAAAGGATCTAGACTGTTTTTTTGGGAACAAAATCTCTTAAGATAGTTCTGGGAAGTAGTAATACCAAACCACTTTGATGACAAACTTTGGTTAAAGACCAAAACAACATTTTACAATGCGGAAAGTCCACTAAACAAGTCCATTAATTCCATGTATGCACCTATGTTTTAATTACATGATCTGTTAAGACAAAATCATATGACTTTTTTTGATGCTGGAGTGTATTCTGTAAATCTCTTTCTATCTTAATATGCGCACTGTGCATGGTAGGAAACAGAGGTTGGTGACATGAGCATTGATGAGCATCATCTGTGAACCACACTGGTCTTCTATTAATCCCGAGCTCCTCCTTAGACTCATGACTGGAATAGGACACATGTGATGTCCTTGCTGCTCTATTCTCATGGCTCTTGGCCATGCCACTCTTGTAACAATGATCTCATCCATTGTCAAATGCGTGTGTATACAAGCCTTGGAAGTGGATCTTGGAGGAAGGGGAGCCTGGACCAATCAATGCCATTTTCTTTCACATCATATGGGTGACCATGTACATGTGTGACTCTACACTTTCGGTCAAATGTTTGAAAACAGTAAGCTGTTTAAATGTTAAAGAAGCTAATTCTGCTCACAGAGGCTGCATTAGCAAAAACAAATTTGTTTAGATAGTATTTGGTCCCTCTCTAAATTAAGTTAATGTTACTCATGTTAATGAGATAAGGAAAGGGTTAATTAAGTGATGATTTAGCACTGATGATGAACAACTGCTGTTAATAAACAGAGACCCAAGAGAAACACAAAACTACATATGACTTCAGTCACAGCCAATATAATACATTGCATCTCTCAAAATCTCAGCAGAGGATCATTAAGAAACTCCGCATACAGCAGCTTTACTTTTTACTAACCTGTTTGCCCTTATTTAAAAAGGAACCAAATACTCTCTGAACAGAGTAAATTTTACCTAGAGGATTTTGCTGTGTATTTGATGAAAATAAAAATTTAATAATAGCTTTTATTTGCAATAGTTTTTTTTACATTCTAAATACATTTATAAGTGAAAACAATATTGCAAATAAGGTACTGTATGATTTTATCAAATAATCAAAAGTAAAATGTATTACAGTATCTATGATTCCACTGTATGAAGCAAGACCAAATATTTTCTCCACCGATAATTGTAGGAATTATTATAGGTGACATTATAATGAATTATGAAGGATCATGCAACACTGAAGACTAGAGTAATCAGGATAAAAATTTAGCTTTAAATACCAGATTTTGTGACATTTGAAACTACATTCAATAAAAAAGTTGTTTTAAAATTGTAATAATATTTCATAATTGAACAATTTTTATTGTATTTTTATCAAATAAATACAGTATTGGTGAGCAGATCTGTCTTCTTTTAAAACATGAACAAATCTTACTGTTTACAAACTTTTGGCGGGTAGTATACCTGCATGGGAAAGTGGAGTCATAGGGATGCACTTAGAATGATGAAAAGTCTTTTGAGGGATTGTGACTTTCCAGGAACAAACTAAGTCACCCCTGGTCTGGGCAGGGTCCTGTCAGGAAATCCTGTGTCCGGCCATTCATGTGGATGTAAATTTGCGTTGTTGCAGACTAGGTATGCCCCTTCATGACAATGGTGTTTGATTAGCTGGCTTAACCGGGTTTAATTAGAGTAGGATCTACCATAACCCAGACAGTGGCCTCTATAGAAACAAGACTGGACAGTCCACGTCTTTTTGAGTCTACACTGTTTTGGATGCATACAGAGGACCAACAGTTGGTGGTCATAAAGTTTTTGATTATCAGTCTACATCAGGGGTGTCCAGCACATTTTAGCTCCAACCTGAACCAGCCAGTCAAGGTCTTCAGACTAACTACAAACTCCCAGGCAAGTTGGAGGGGAATATGGGACCTCAGGTGCAAGACTGGACAACCTTGGTCTACATCTGCCAGTTCTTACTTACTGACTATTTAACTTATTTATTTTTAGTTTAGTGGCGAAATCATATGAATTAATATGATTTTTTTTTTTTTAAGGAAAATAAAATTAAAAATAAAGTAGTACTAACAAATGAGATCGTAAAAATGTATAGGAATTAGCCACTAAATCAAAAGGTTATGCAGTAGTGTAAGATAGCATTGGACAATTACAATCTTTCAGTGCGAGTATAGTACAACTGTTATTATTAATTCAAATAAAAATTCTGTTGTAGTATGCCCAACCATGGGAAACGAAGGTTCATGACTGATTTGTGTCCTGTACCTTTAAGAGTTTTAATCATAACAGCAGTGGATGTGTTGTCTTGTTTTAGCTGACCCATGCAGATTGGTCCATAACGTCCCATCTGAAGCACCTCCACTCCCTCCAGGGTGCACTGAACAGGTAGCTCTAATGGACCCAGAACATTTGCAGGCCGTAAGCTTCCAATCCCTGCATCCAGTTGGACATGTTCCCTTTCTGAAAGAATGTATTAAATGTATTAATTAAACATATTAAAACATATTTAAAAACCCAAGTATTAACACAAAATACAACAACTTTCTGTGTGTGTATTCAAAGTAGATCAATATTTTTTCACATACCATTTACATTTGAAGATGAGCTTGTGATTTTCTGAGCTGAAGATCTTTTGGTAACAAAGCTCCATATTATCTGCGACACAACAATCAGGGTGCTGAGAGCCAGCAAGCTTGGAATAATAATGACCGCGAGGGGACCTGATCCTTCATCATCTGTACAGTCATACATTCAACAAAAGGGATGATACAGCACATAACTACATGAATATTTCATATCTGATTAATCACTTTAATAAATATATTTAGGTTGTAATATACAGCACAGTCTTACAACAGGCTGGGTCAGAGCCAGAGGAGATGTTGCATTGGGCTTGGACAGCCATGTGGGTGTCTCTCTAACATTTCCAAAACTGATTTGAAAAAAGACATTAGAACAATCATTTGAACTACAAAAACACAGAACATATGTTATTAGAGCTAAAACAAAAGTCACAATGAATACACATATTTTTGATGTGAGTGTTTAGCACCCTTACCTTGTTGGAAAAATAAGGTAGAAGAGAAATTTAAAAAAAGGATCCAGAGCACTTTCGGTAAAGGGAACAATCAGTAAGCATAAGGTTTGATTTTGGCTTTCGGAGCAATGACCGTGAGGGTGACTGACCAACTCAGTTAATGATTACCTCACATACAGACGCCTTTTAACTGTTGCCAGGAGTGCTGTGTTTTTCTGCATTGATTTGCTCAGTTATGATATGCAAAGTAAAAGTCCAAACAATTTTGCAAATAATTAGAGTATAATTTTCCTACATTTCTCTCTTTGAAGCAGGGAAATATGGTGCAAGAGGAAAGACCCCCATATCAAGTTTTCTCTTAATTACAGCAGGCCGATATATACTTTTCAAATACTGTTCTGTACCTCAGTCAGGGTTCTGTGCTCAGACCTCTTTTCTCAATTTCTCCTTAATCTTCAAGTCAGCTCTAGGATCTGTAATTCAGACATGGCTTTTCCTATCCTCGTGGTGCTGATGAGACTGAACTCTCTCACTCCAGACTGATGATCTTACCATAGCTAGCATCTCAGCTTGTACACGGTGAAAAAAATTCTGGTTGCCTTATATTTTTAAGCTGAATCAAATTAATCTATTGAATGTATATTATGTTAAAATGACTTGCATATCTTATACATTTAAGTTGGTACATGCTTAACTAAGTTACAATGAACTAAAATCAAGCATATGCTGTCATGACTAATTGATCATAATGTTTTTCAGTGTATGATAGAGATTTATTGCTGGAAAAAAGACCATCACCTCCACTCAACCCTGGAAAGATAGAACTGCTTGTGATTTGGTGCAACCTAACACTGAATTCCAACTTCTTCGCAATTGGAACTGGAAATGAATCATCATAAATATATTATAGGCCTGTATATGTTTAGCATGTGCAGGATGCTACAACATTGTTCTCAGGGGGCGTAATCTTTGTAGAAAGTGTAACTCTGCACTATTACAGCAGATGGCAGTATTATTCAACATCAGACCAAGAAGTTTTTCACAGTTCTGTTTTAACACTTGATGTGAAGAACGTTATGCAGTTCTATATTACTTTGCAAAACAAAATGGCATGTTGTTTTTGTAAAGTACATAATACATGCATTAAAATCATGTTGTTCATGTATATAAATGCATGTAACAGGAGCAAATTTATACGTCCCATATTGAAATGTATAAATGTGTAAAGGATTTTCCTTTTGTTTTGTATGCAACAGACACAAATTACTTCATAATAATAGTCCAATATATTCTGCAGTTATTAATTTAATTTCACATTTTGGGGGTTCAACCAGGGCTAAACAATACAGAACCCCCAAACTATTGTACTCCATATAGATATGCTTATAATGAAACAATTATAAATTATAAATAATTCTGGTTCGAGTCCCAGCTGGGTCTGTTGGCTTTTCTTTGTGGAGTTTGCATGTTCTCCCCGAGTTCGTGTGGGTTTCCTCCTGGTGCTCCGGTTTACCCCACAAGTCCAAAACATGTGGTACAGTTGAATTGGGTAAGCTAAATTTGTCCATAGTGTATGAGAGTGAATGAGTGTGTTTCTCAGTGATGGGTTGCAGCTGGAAGGGCATCCACTGCTTAAAAACATATGCATGGATACAATGTGGGTTCATTCCGCTATGGTGACCCCAAATTAATAAAGAGATTAAGCCGAAAAGAATCATGAATGAATGAATGAATGAATGAATGAATGAATGATTGATTTAAGTTTTTTTATTATTATGATTTTTTCATTTTTCAATAGTACTTTGTTATTGACTCTTTACTTTGTTTTTTATTAAAACTTTACCCTTTTTCTTTTTGTCATTATTTTTCCTCCTGTTAATGTTAGAAGGGTGTGAGGGTATTTTGATTTTCTTTAATAGATGATTTAGTTCCTTTCTATCAGTTAGAGAACTTTTTATTTGTTGATTTGGCTTGAACTCCCTCTTGAAGCTTGCTTTATTCAAATTGCATTGTGAAGTGTTTGGGTTTTGGTAATTTTTCGTTTGTTTAGTCTTTTGGGAGGTTGCTCATGGGACATTATTACTGACACACACACACGCACACACACACACAAACAAACAAACTTCACTAACTATTTTGACTACTATTATGTTGTGTACCTGTGTTCCCCTAGACAGAATTAAGGGTATGTAACAGTTATTAAAAATACTTACATTTACCTTTTATGATTTATGATAGTATTTGAATTATAGGTATTTGTCATGCCAGTGTTTCGCAACTATATTCCTAAGGGACCATCCGACCTGCATTTTTTGGATGTCTTCTTGTCTGTCACAACCATGACAGGTCTTTTGGTCTCTGCTGATGAGCTAATGATCTAAATCAGGTGTGTTTGGTAAGGAGGTATGGAAAATGTGCAGAGCTAGTGATCCTCCAGGAACGTGGTTGAGAAACACTGTGGTATGCGATTTCATTTAAAGTACTTAATTTTCCTCAACAGAGTTGCCATGTCCTTTCAGCTCTAAGCATAGCAGAGGCGCTTTTATGTTTGGCATTGTGAAATAGTGCGGTAAAGCCCGCCCCCTCGCTCTGATTGGCCGCCGTGCTTTCGTCCACTCTGCATTGGTGTCGGTGTGCGCCACTGACAGACGCTGCTCTGGTTTGGCGCAAGTAATAAGCTGAAAAAAAGACTACAAAGTTGCAAAGCTGCACCTACAATTAATGACCGACGGGCACTGACAGCTCCACACAACAACAACAGCCCACACGAGAGGGCGTTTCTACTAGAATCAAAGGTCGTCTGACGCTGGACCTAGCAATTCGTGCATTCCCGATCCAGGTATACATTGTTGCTCCTCGTCGTTTCCCGTGAACGCGCCGGTAGCTGATGTCATTGGAACAGGTGCGCGAAACCAAGTTAACAACAGTCGCCCTAGATCGCGAGGGATTACACGCGGATCTGAGTGTTTTTCTACGGCGTTTCATTCATCAGCCGGTATTACCGAGCGATTTGAGGAGGCTAGATTATTTTTATGCGCCTGGATGAAGTAGGCTGTCCTGCCTCGGTGGTAGTTTATTGCCATTTCCGTGTCTTTTGCTCCTAGAAAGCGTTTGTTTGGATCGTGCGAGGACATTTGGCGACACACTTCTTGGTGAGCTCTGAAGACTAGCGTAGATTTTAAGGCAATGATCTATTTTACCTTCGCGTGAGCTTGTGCCTCAGTTCTGATGAATTTCGTGCGTTTTGACTGAACCATACTGGGAGTACAACCGAGCGATGTCAATTGTGAAGTTTTAGGACCTTTTTTTTACCTTTACATCAAGACATGGGAATGAAGCCGCTGTGCTTTTTAGCACTCTAAACGCGCTTGCATAAGGAAATAACCAGTTTGTTTTGAGAGACTCGTGTACGAAAGGGATTAATCATGTCCAAGACGCTGAAGAAGAAGAAACACTGGTCCAGCAAAGTGCAGGAATGTGCTGTTTCGTGGGGTAATGCAGAGGAGCTCTGCGCCGTGTTGGAGATACGCGGAGGAGCCGAGCACGGAGAGTTCCCGCACCTGGGACAGGTGTTGTCGGACGCGCTAGTGTGCCATGTCGGCAGGCTGCCTGGTCCAGGAGATGTGCTTCTGGAGGTGAACGGCACGCCTGTCAGCGGACTGACAAACCGAGACACCCTCGCCGTCATCCGCCACTTTCGCGAACCCCTCCGTCTGAAGACTGTCAAGCCAGGTTAGTTTGTCTGTTTGCTAATTAAAGCCTGAGTTATCTGTTTGTGACGCTACAATTACACACAAGTTTCTTTTTAAAACTCAAATAAATGCTAGTTTATGCATTTTAAAACTAGCATTTATAAGCAAATAATCTACCACTTTACGTTTCATTTTTGTATGTTTGAAAGTGGGTTAGCATCGCTTTTAGCAGAGCTTGTGCTCAATGTTACAATGTGTTGTTTAGCAACAGACAACCAATCACGAACTGACCCAGTGCCTGCCTTGTGAAAGCTTAAATTGCATTAAACAAAATAAAGATCCTATAAAAGATTTATATCATTTAACATCCATAGAGCCTATATATTCAACAGAATGTTCTTAAAATTCTTTGAAAAGAACATTTTTAATTATTTAGAGTAGCCTAAACAAAATGTATCACAAAAGTACTATACCTTTATATACAGGCCTATACATTCTGCTATACTATATTAGAAAACATATGTGCAGTTTTATTGTATACTGCAAACTGGCACTATTTTTTTCTATTTATAGCTGCTTTATATACTGGGTTTGTTTCAGATACTTTTTTTTACATCATTAACCTATTCCTGCTTATTAAAGTGAGTCTGTTTTGAATCATGCACTGTTACGAAGTGCTATATAAACTATTGTCACTTGTCTAGAATAGTGAGGATCTGAATGGCAAAAATTCCCACGCATAGATAAGCGGTTTAATGATTATCCAAGCAGTGTTATCATCTTCATGAATATGCTAATTTGTAGTTTACAAATGTACATTGTGTAAAATGGAGCAGGACAACATTTCAGGTAAATAATGTTAGTTAAGCATATATCTCTGGGTTTTGAGGCAGCCTGTATAAACCTCATATTCTATTACCAGCATTTGCTTATAATTACATAGTTGGCATTTTGATTAAATGGGACTCTCAAGGAAAAAGTGGATTTTAACCGAAGCCATTCATCACAGTTACCACAACAGGAGGAAATTGAGACTATCCATCATGAGGAAGTTTTGGTACCACTATATGCATTTTTTGTTTGTTGGAAATCACAGTGATTTTATTAATCATTTTCCTGGTAGATGTTTTTACTTTTCATCGAGACTCCTACAGTTTATTTAAGCTGCCGAAGCCAGGTTACAAGTTTTTGCTTGTATGTGATTGTTAATCTTGTGTCTAAAGCAGAGAAATGATAAAGATCTGTAGAAGGCAGCTGAGACCTGAGCTTTCAGGACAGGTGAGGATCAGAGGACTTTAAATACAAACAGAATTGCCATGGTTACTAAACAGGTAACAGGAATCTAGTGTAACTTGGCGTTGTGGTGTAACACAATCCATTTGTGGATCAGATTACAGAAACATCCTAACTCTGAATTCTGTCTTATCTGATTTGTCTATCATATTTTATTTACAGTCCCATCTCAAATATGCACTTGTCAGATCTTAACTTAAAACTTAACTACAGGAGTTTTTGGGAAAACAATCTTCAGATCATACAAAGAGTTCAGAGTGAACGAAGAAAACTACTACCATGGAAGCTAGTAGGGCTGCACGATATTGGAAAAATCTGATATTGCGATATTTTATTTTGCTGTGATTTTATATTGCGATATGAATCCAGTTTTGGTAGATGAATTGAATAGCTTTATTTGGAATAAAATCAATGACTAAAAATAATCTTGTAGAGTAGTGAAACAAATAAATTAAAAGAATATATTAGAGAGCAAAGATAAAAGTGAAATAAGTAGTCAGATATTCAGGTACAGTATTACGATACAATATTATCATGATATTTCAGTCCCGATAATGAAAGATCATGATATCAGTGATATATCATAAGAAAACCATCCACAATATATCATGATAATTGTAAATGAAGAGAGAAAGTGCATCAAAAAGTTATAAGATGCATTTCTTTTATTACCAGCACATATATTTCATGTAAATTGCAACACTGATATATGTTATGATATATATATATATATATATATATATATATATAGTCGCCATTACAAGAAGTGCCACCTCATGCATATCCCTATTTTGTCCTGCCTGTATTATTGAATAATCAAATGTAATGTAAAATGTAAACACTGTAGATTTTTCATTGTTGATCAACAATACTAATCAAACTTCACATTGCAGATGCTGCGATGTGACAATTGCGAGTGCTCACTTTGCGATATCGATGCTGAAACGATATACAGTATTAGAAGCTAGTTTTATTTAAAACCAACAGAGAGTTTCAATCATAGTTCTGACTTTTATTTTTCATATTTTGAGGTTTATATCTCACAATTCAGCTATTTGTTTTCAGAATTGTGAGGGGAAAATTATTTTTTAATGTGAGAATTTTAAGAGAAAATAACATGATGACATGTTTTATGTTCTTAAAAAAATAGCGAGAATAATTGCAATGTGCAATATCAGAATTCTGAGAAAAGTCAAAATTATGACCAGAACTTTCAATTATGAGTTTATAACTTGCAACTGCAAGAAAAATAAGTCAGAATTGAGAGATTTAGTTTTTATTCTGTAGCTGAAACAAAAAAAGGAATATTGTGATGTTAACTTTGAATGCCAAGAAAGAAATCAAGATTTAAATTCAGAAATAAACTCACAATTGAGAGAAAAAAAACTGTCAGAAATCTGATTAGTATTTGCAGCCACAAAAATAAAAAGCTAAATCTAGAAAATGGTAAATGTACCCACATTTACAACTGCTCCATTTTTTTATAGAAATAATTGCAAGATGTAAACTGAAAATTGAATCTTCAACTTGGACAAATCAGAAGGAATAAATTGAGAAGAGGTTGAACTTGCATTTTTAACTTTTTTTTTTCTGTCAGAAATACTTTTACTGTCTCACCTCATTGTCTATTGGTGTGTAAAGGCTTGTTTTGTGACTTCACAGCATCACCAAAAGCTGATGCAGAAGCTATAGGTATCCATTCAGCTGGAAATTGTGTAAACTCTTTAAACATTTAGAGCTTTGAACTTGATGTAATCCTCTTTGCCTGCAGCACAGATGTCGTCTGACTTCCCGGCCTCCCCCCTTTTGCCCACTGTCCACCTCATTTAGCATGTTAGCCTGCCTGAAGGATCACCATTTGACTCTTTTATGCCATTATAATGCTCTTTTAGAGATGATTATAATTACAGGGCTTTATGTTGCTACAGGCACTCTCTGCGTCTGTTTATTTTGGGCTCGCAAATGAGGTAGAGTGGATAACTTAATAAGAAAATGTAGTTCTCTGCACACTTCCTAATCAACGCAAATTGGCATTAGTGAATGGGTTAGCATTAGATGTCTCTTACTGATTATTTTAACATAGTGTGAGTTTGTTAAAGCTGCCAAAGCCTGCAGCTTTGGACCAAATCCAGATCTAATTGATTCAATTAGTCTTTTAAATCCGTGGTGTGTTGTCTGGCTGGTGACTCAGCAAGAGGACTGGACATTTACAAGAATCCAAGCTTTTAGAATTCTTATGGGATTCTTCAGTATATCAGTTCATGTTTATGTCCACAAAACATGATATGGTGGATGCTGAAAGTGACACACAACAAGCTTAATTCATTTGTATGTGTGTAATAAGGATAGGTACCAACAAACAGTATTTTTTTGTATGTATTTGAGTCAACACCGGCGACACGGTGGCTCAGTGTTTAGCTCTGTTACAGGCTCAGCAAGAAGGTTGCTGGGTCAGTTGGCATTTCTGTGTGGAGTTTGCATGTTCTCTGTTTTTACTGTATGTGGGTTTCCTCTAGGTGCTCTGGTTTCCGCCACACAAGACATGCTCTATAGGTGGATTGAATAAACTAAATTTGTCGTAGTGAATGTGAGAGTGTATGGGTGTTTCTCACTACTGGGTTGCCGCTGAAAGGGCATACGCTGTGTAAAACATATACTGGATAAGTTGGCAGTTCATTTTTCTGTGCGACTTCTGATGAATAAAGGGAGTAAGCAGAAGGAAAATGAATGAATGAATCAATACCGGACTACCATTAAGCTTCAGGACACACAGTACTGTTAATGGTACTTGTGCTTGTTTGTTTCCAAAATACTTTGGTGTTAAAAGTGAACTAGAAGTTGTTGCTTAGCATTTGATGTCCCTGAATGGTGTCATCATGTGGCCGTAGTTTATTCAATGAATGTGTGATATCCTTGCCCATGTCTGGGTGTGTTTATGCGCAGACTGTCAGTCATGGCGGCTAGATTGACAACAGTTTAAAGTGCGTGCTCATGTAACAAAGCTAAGTGGCAACAGTTTAAACTGCAGAAGTCAGAAGCTCCTGGAGTCTCCTGCATTTTCATAGTTGCTGCCTAATGTCTGCAAATTAAATAATATATTGTGGAAAACACTGCAGCAAGAGAGAGATTGAGCTCCAGTGAAGAGGAAAGGGATCCACTAGAATATCACATAAACCTTAATGGGGACCTATTACAGCCCTTTTTTACTATATGTAAAATAATCTCTGATGTTTCTAGAGTGTGTAGGTAAAATTTAAAAATACCCCACAACATTTTTATAAATCTTTGAAACTTGTTTTGATCTGAATTGTGCCTTTTTGGTGACTGTCACTTTAAATTCAACTGAGATTGGTTGGTACTGTGCAAAAACTCTATTGGTGGATGGCTGCTCATTCAGTGCTGTCTATGCTAATGAGAGAGAGATCGTCACTAAAGGACGGTACTTTACCCCTCTGAGGACATGTAAAAAAAGTAGATTGTCAATCAGTGTTTTTGCAGAATGTTTTTATAAAGTGTGATTCTAAAACATAGAATTAATTATGGCTGGGCGATAAAAAAAAATCACAATATCTTGTTTCATATCATTCTATATCAATAATGTATATTTTTTAACTATACATTTAGGAATATTAGGATTTTTTTTTTATCTACCTCTTTATTTTAATTTATCAACATTACTAGGCGAATAGTTTTAACAGTCAAAAACAAAAATATCGGATTGGAGGGGGTGTTTGACAGTGCGCGCAA